TATAAAAATCAGCCAGGCATGGTGGCGCATGCCTGTAGTCCCAGCTACTCGGGAGGCTGAGGCAGGAGGATCGCTTGAGCCCAGGAGTTTGAGGTTGCTTTGAGCTAGGCTGACACCACGGCACTCACTCTAGCCTAGGCAAGAAAGTGAGACTCTGTCTCAAAAAAAAAAAAAAGGCCGGGCGCGGTGGCTCACGCCTGTAATCCTAGCTCTCTGGGAGGCCGAGGCGGGCGGATTGCTCAAGGTCAGGAGTTCGAAACCAGCCTGAGCGAGACCCCGTCTCTACCAAAAATAGAAATAAATTAATTGACCAACTAAAAATATATATACAAAAAATGAGCCGGGCGTGGTGGTGCATGCCTGTAGTCCCAGCTACTCGGGAGGCTGAGGCAGGAGGATCGCTGAGCCCCAGAGATTGAGGTTGCTGTGAGCGAGGCTGACGCCACGGCACTCACTCTAGCCCCGGCAACAAAGTGAGACTCTGTCTCAAAAAAAAAAAAAAAAAAAAAAAAGTAGTTTGTTAGGAAGATAGTACGTGATCAATAATGTTAGCCTTAAAGAATGGTATCTGGCTGGGTGTGATAGCTCATGCCTGTAATCCTAGCACTTTTGGAGGCCAAGGTGGGAGGATTGCTTGAGGCCAGGTGTTCAAGACTAGCCTAACCAACATAGTGAGATCCCATCACTACAAAATTTTTTTTTAAATAGCCAGGTGTAGTGGTATGCATCTGTAGTCTCAGCTACTTGGGAGGCTAAAGCAGGAGGATCACTTGAGCCCAGGAGTTAGAGGCTGCAATGAGATATGAGCCCACCACAGCACTCTAATCTGGGCAACAGAATAAGACCCTGTCTCAAAAAAAAAAAAAAAAAAAAAAGAATTGCATCTTCCAAACAACAAAATGTTAGTACCCCAAAGGCAAACACCTCAAGTCTCAAATAATATTCAGTACCTATCATCCAGTCTTTGTGAAAAGAATATACCATACGTCTTGAAATGAGTTCCTAGAATGAGTCTATACTTAACAGCAAATATCTAGCACAGAAATGTAAAAGTGGAAAGAGAAAAGCAGTCCCTCTCATCAGCTGATTGGGCAGGCCTTCTGCTGTGCACATTCCATCCTGGTATTGAAGTCAAATGGTCTAGGAAAATGTGTTCAGATCATAGATAAATGAATTGCAGAGTGGAATACTGTAGAACCTTCAGGTACTGTTTATACTGAACTATACAGGAACAACTCATCCGTCTTCCAAGTGACTATTAGCTATCTAACCTCACTTAAGTGGAAATGAGATTAAAACAAACCCCTCCAGAAGATCACTGGTCCCCAGTCACCCTGTGCCATCAAATGCTGACCTCAGAAACCTCATTGAGAATCAAATACATAAATAAATCCTTAGAAGAAACAAAGCTCTCGTACTTCAACCAAAAATTTCTCATCCTTTTTTATAATTTAAATTACTTTCCTTAACAATTTGTTAAATGTAGGATTGGGGGAATATTGACATTTGGACAGTATATTTGGTATGAGCAAAGGTTATCTTGACAAATTCATTTTTCAACTTATTTTTTCCCAATGCAAAAAAATATATATAACTATACCTCTGCATACAACCAATTTGGCCTAACCACATTTCTGGTGATTTTTAGTAGGACTGCTTGCCAGTGGACTGAGGTCGTATGCGGACAAAAGACATAACTTACAGATCCTAGAAGGCATTCTCTTTCTACTTGGCAAGTGTCCCCCTCCCCTCTTGAGATTAGGCAGTGGCAATTCTACCTTCGGGGAAACCTATTTTCTTTTCTAAGTGGCCTGCTCAAATTAGATAGGAGAAGAAGAAAGAGATAAAGTTATTTCCCACATGATCGACATGGCTTATATGATCAGAGAGACCAAAGTAATTTTTTAATGAATAAATTTAGGGATTATGCTAGCTAGGCTGCTTTGTATACTTTCACATAGTAAGCACTATAGTTAAAAAACAAAAAACAGGCATTTCCTTTGATAGGAGGAAAGGATAGACACTCTGGTCATTGCATAGAATGAGGTGGGGTTTTCAATTTTTGTTTTTTGGAGGGCTGGTTTTTGGTTTTCTTAATTGATATACCATAGTTTACATATTTTGGGGATGCATGTGATATTTTGATACCTTCATACGATGTGTAATGATCAAATCTAAGTATTTGAGATATCTATCACTTCTAACATTTAAATCTCTTTTCTTTGTAGAATGAGTTTTTATCATGGAAAAAATTTCAAATGCCATATTTTTCTAAGTTTTCAGTTGAACTTTGAAAAATTTCAGAGTGTAAAAATACTATTATGTTGTATATTTAATCAGTTAGCACTTAAGTATAAAATACACTTAAATCAGTTTGAGATTCCTTTTTGATGGAGAACAAGAACCCTTAAAAGTCAGCATCCCCAGTCATAGCCATGGTGGTGAGCTAGTATCCTTCTAAATCCCATTTTACTATAAACACCTTTGCATCTTCCAAACAATGTTCTATTATGACCATTTATCACATCATCCCATATTTCAGTGGTCATACTTTTTTATGCCAATTTTCCAATACAAAATGGCATTTACTTAAGATATCAGCTCTTTTAGCCTTGCAGCCCAGATGTGGCTTTTTTTGTGATGGCGCACACACACACACACACACACACACACACACACACACACACACACACACAGAATGGGAACAAATTTCACAAACCCAGTGCAAATCCCAAAAGGGATTTTTTTTTTTTTTAACCAATGTATCTGTGAAAGAAGATAGAGAAACCTAAGCTTAAAAAAAATTGGAAATGAAATAGGAATGCCCTACTTGGAGTCATGGGGGATATGATGATAGAACCATGACTAGTTTCAACATTGACACGCAAAGTGTGCATGCATTTGAAGTAATATTGCCTTTTAATTACCTTCAGAGACTACACTTTGGAATTCTTTTTGAACTTTCTACAGTGAGTATGCATTTGTGGTCAGAAATACAATACAATTATTTTTGAGAGATTAGTGTTGTTTGTAAAAACTATCCAACTTCCCCACTCTCCAGATCCTCTGCTTGATTGAAACATTCTTTTCCTTCTGTGTCTGGCTGTGTTGATATGCCAGAGGTAGGAAATTCCAGCACAGAACTGGTACCAGAAGCCTGCTGATTAGGGATCACTGATAGAGCCCAAGAGCCTTCCACAGCAGCACTTTAGTGTTTAACCTTTATCCTTATAGAATTGGGTGTTTTATTTTTTTTTTATTTTTTTATTTTTTGAATTGGGTGTTTTAAAAAAAAAAAAACTAATTCTAAATTGATTCACTTTCTCTGGTCTCTCTAGCCAGGCTCCAGCTTCTATGTCATATTATACTGTGTAGTCTAAACTCAGAACTCTAATATTTTTAGTAAGCTAAAGATTGTTTTAGCCACTAAGCCCTGGCTCTTCACTTTCTTTTAATTATTTCCTGGAAATAGTATTAGAAACAAAGGAAATGAGCTATATTTTTATGCAACCATTAAAAAAATATTTTCCAGTAATACATAATGCCATGGACAGTATGTACAATATAATGTCAAATAGATAAACAGTGTATGAAGCAAAATGTGAGGTATGAAACTGTTAAAATTGATATATAAGTTTCAGAAAATCACCAAAATGTTGCAAATGATTACTTCTTGATGGAATACCTATACAAGCGTCTGCAGTTTTATTGTTTTCTTTATACTGTTCTTCCCCAGATTTTTCAAAGTAAAATATATATTGTTTTCATAATAAAAAACATAAATCTTTATTCATTTTAAAAACTCTTAAAAAGAAATAAAAGAAAGTAGCTGGAGCAGCCCTCCGAGGGGGCCAAAGAGGAATCAGTGTTGCTGTTGAAAGTATTGCCAGGCTCTGCTCCTGTTTACTTGAGGATTATGAGCTCCTTATTGTTTAGTTGGGTCAGAGGTGTCCCGTTGTTGAAAATTGCTAGCCTGATGACATGCGACAGGTACAAAGCTCTGCTGTGTGGGCCCTGGGGACGTGCTGAGAATTGCCAGCATTTGGCAGTGCTTTGCAGCTCTCACAGCTGCTGTGTATCAAGCAGGTGCTGTGCTAACACTTCCGTGTCCTGTGACATGAGATCTGGCCCGACTCTCTTCCTGAGCACCTACTACCAAACACCTGACCGGAGCATCGTCACGGGAGCAGTCAAATGAAGTCCTGGCACAGGAATCATCAGTCAGTTAATGAGCTTCTGGCGGCAGGGGTTGGGGGCTGTCAGAGGAATGGTTGTTCATCCAGGCACAGGGAATCGAAAAGAAAAGGTTAGAGCAGGTCTGCTTTTTAAGAAAAACACAGAACCAGTGTTACAACTAAGAATTTTAGAGAGTCCTGGCTATGAGTCTAGTATTGGTGTTACATAAGGATTTATCAATCACTGTTGGGAAAGAACGTTGGCTAGCCTCTGTGAAACGAATGTGGGAACTTAAGCCAGGGTGAGGCAGATTTAGTAATGAGTTCTCTCATCACATCTCTTGGCCGAGGAAAACATGCACCTTTTCCAGAGACAGAATTTTTCTTCCATTCCAAGAGGTGAAGGAACACTTGAAGTATATATAGGCTTTCAGATGAGCAATTTTCACTAGTTGTTTTCCTAACCTATTTATAAATAAGTAAAAAGAGAAATTGAGAGGTAACTTGAGTTTTTCTATATTGGGAATATCATCTCTGTAAAAATAAGTGGTCCTGTGCTTAATCCCTTGCCTACATACAGAACTCTCATCTGGTGTGTATATACTAAGCCAGCATTCCCTCCCGGACTCCCAGAATGGTGGTTGGGTGTAACGGTGTGCATGTGCAACTGAATGTGGAAATATTTCTTTTTATAATCCTGAAGATTTCAATAATGATTAGAAGAGCTTTAGTCTTTGGTCAGTTTCTTTGATTTAGGAGGCATAAGGAATATTTGAACTTCTCATTTCAGATTGACCCTGACTTTCTTTATTTTTTTTACCTCAGATCATCCAGCCCCTCTTAGAACTTGACCAAAATAGAAGCAAACTAAAGTTGTATATTGGACACCTGACAGCCCTCTGCCATGACCGAGACCCCCTGATCCTTCGTGGACTCACTCCACCAGCTTCCTATAACCTGGACGATGACCAGGCAGCTTGGGAGAACGAGCTGCAGAAGATGACCCAGGAACAGGTAAGCCTCCCACTGGAGCTTTGACAAGAGCCTGTTGAAGTCCAGCTGCTGTTTGGGTTAATGCAGTGAGAACTACCTTGGGGAATTCAGGGTTTGGAGCCAAGATTTTTTGGTGGAGGGGTTCCAGATTTTTGTACTGATTTCTATTTTATTTTTTTAATTGAGAATTTAAAAACATATATGTTTATCATGTACAACATAGCGTTTTGAAATACGTGTTCATTGTGGAATGACTAAATCAATGCAATTAACATATGCATTACTTCATTTTTTTTTTTTTTTATGGTGAGAACAAAATCTCTCTTGGCAATTTTCAAGAATAAAATACATTGTTATTGACCATAGTCAGCATTTTGTATAATGCATAGATTTCTTGAACTTATTCCCCTATCTTACTGAAACTTTGTACCCTTTGACCAACATCTATCTCCCCCACCCCCACTGCTGGTAACCACCATTCTCTTCTTAGATTCAAGATTATTGGTAATGAACAGTCTTCAGCAGATATTTGGGATTACCTTTTGAAGGAAGTGCCACTTGATTCTTGCATCAGTATAATGTACTCAGTTATCAGAAAGGGCTGATTTATAAGGAAGAGTGTTAAGGATAATCTGTTTACGTGCCATAGGTTATTACATAGACATGGTGACCACTGAAGGAGAGTCTGAGTTAAGGATGTTTGCATGAGAGATTTTTCTTTTAAGAGATAGTCTCACTCTGTTGTCAAGGCTGGAGTGCAGTGGTGCAATCACAGCTTACTGCAGCCTTGAACTCCTAGGCTCAAGCGATCCTCCTGCCTCAGCCTCCCGAGTAGCAAGCCATCACACCAGCTAATTCTTTTTTCATTTTTTTAGAGATGAAGTCTTGCTATATTACCCAGTCTAGTCTTGAACTCCTGACCTCAAGCAATCTTCCCACCTCACCTCTCAAAAGTGCAGGGATTACAGGCATGAGCCATTGTACCTGGAAGGATAGGGATTTTTGACAAGTCAATAACATGTGTCTTCAGTTGTATCTTAAGTTGTTTCCAGGGAACTGTAGGTGACAATATAGCCTTGAGTTTATAAGTAAAAAAAACATTAGATGAATTAGTTTAGGTTTAACCCAATGTCTCAGCCCATTCAGGCTGCTATAACAAAATACCACAGAGTGCATAGCTTGTAAAAAATAAACATCTATTTCTCATAGTTCTGGAGGCTGGAAGTCCCAAATCAGGGTGTCAGCATGTTTGGTTTCTGGTGAGGGCTCTCTTCCAGGTTGCAGACTGCTGACCTCATGGCCTAATCACCTCCCAAAGGCCCCACCTCCTAATGATATGACATTAGGGGTTAAGATTTCAATTTAGGAATTGGGGTGGGGCACAAACAAATGTAGCATGGGCGGGGGGGTCTATGTTACATTTTCTGTTTACTGTTGCCTATAAAAATCCAGTGATTTCTCTCTCTCTCTTTTTTTTTTTTTACATTTTATGATTTTTAGTTCAATAATGGCATGATAAGGCTAGTTTGGAGACAAAAATTGTGAATAAAAAAGAGTGAACAGGATAAGGATGATAGGGATAGCAAGCAGACACAGAAAGTTAAGGAAAGAAAAATTGGATGCACTCTGAGAAAAAGAAAGAGAAAAAGAGCAGGGTTTAAAATATTGATTCAAAGCTCCTTTTGCTCCTAGTTTACAGACAGAAGTGGGTGATGTCCCTTATCCTCTTATAGGCTATAGACATACCAACCAAAAGACTAAAGAAATGTACAGAAGTTATAAATTTACTAAAACTCTGCATCAGGATTTGGGAGGTAGGCACTGTTCGGGCTAAGTACTTCCTATTTGTTAAACATTGTTTGTTTACTCTAGTATGTGAAGGAAAATTGGGTTGAATAGAAAACTTACTATGGTGTGAGGTTAATGATGGCAGGGACAACCCACAAGTCAAGAAACTCAAGCTATCTCTACATTGGGAAAAAACACAGAGTCAGCTCCGGCCGCCCCGACCCCGCGGCCAGCGAGCAGGGCAGCAGGGCTCAGAGTGGGCGCCGGGCGGCGGAGCGCCGCTGCAGCTAGTCCAGCACCCACAGAAGTGCCTTTACAATCTCTAGACCCAGACATCTCACTCCGAGACAGAATAAAGGAAGGAGAACCAACCACAAGCTAAAGGCAATGAAAAGAGGACAATTTGACACTGGAGAAGTTGTGACAAACGTATTGAGAATGCCAGTTGGCAAAGGCAGGTAAGGGAGTACCTGGAGAAGCAGAGCAAGGGCAGGTCGGAAGGGCACGGTAGGCAGGCCCCAGTGGAATTGGCGGGCGTGTTTATTGGCCCTTCCGATCAGCTTTAAAGAAACCTGAAGAAATGGACAAAGACGGAGAAAAGGCAACTAGACGTGATTCTGCCCTTCCAGAGGCAAAGAGGCTTATGTCAGCCGTATGGTCGATGCCCGTCATGGGGAGGAATGACTGTGGAAACAGTGGATTTGCAGCATCCGATCTGGAAGGAAACACGTGTGTTTAGCAAGTTTGTAAAGCTTTTTAAATAAACTGCATTGCTTTTCATTCTCAGTTTCCAGTTATAAAACCAGTGGATGATGAAAAGACCATGTGACAACACAGCATGTACTCCCGGGAACGTTTGTATTCCTGGGATATTGTATCTGACAGAACAGGGCAATTGGGAGGGTGAACCACCCATACTCTCAATTGTGCAGGTAATGAAGCATTGGGAAAGCAAAGGCAAATGAAATAGCCTGGTCATCACAAGTGAGTCTTCTTTTAGTGCTCTTATTACTGACAAGTGTGAAATTGCCAGGGTTGTATTTCCCTGTTTCTGGCACTCATCACACACTTGGGATGAGCACGTGTATGCAGAAAGTGGGAGCCCAGGCAGTTTCTGTAGACCAGGCTGTTAACCTGGAAGTTGTAAGATTTCACAGTGTGGAGGATGGCGGTTGAGGGTCGGTGAGGCTCTACAACAGTCCTGAGGCCCCACAGAAAGTGGAAAACTGACGCTACCCTACCAGTGTTCCTGAATGCTCTAAAGTTCACTTTTTAGTCTTGAGTTGGGGGTGTATGTTAAATATGTGTTGCTCACTCATGATGTTGCCACTAGTATTTTGCCAGTAGTATGTTGCCACTGTATTTTATTAGACTGAAGTGTGTTAGAGCCAGAAGGGGTTTTATGAATCATCTAGCCCAGCCCCCATTTGAACGGATGCTTATGGAGGTCTAGAAATATGTCTGAGATCACATTCCTAGTAAGAAGCAAGGCTATGACTGGAACCCAGGTCTTGTACTTCCTTGGCTGGTGTTTCTACCATTTGTGTGCTATGCCAGGATTCTTAGAAGTTCCAATAACGAGGGTATTAAGATGTGTACCAGTTAATCTAGCATTAGGTAGTAGATATGTATGAAAATAAGTACAAGCTATTTTGGCTACACATCATTAGTGGAAGATTGTCAGTAATTGTTAATTTTTTAAAACCACTGGGCATTTTTATTATTAATTGAAAATTAATCAATGAGCTTGTGGCTGTATCAGTAAAGCCATTCTAAAGCCTAGTAAAAACAGTGCCCGAGTCTCATGCTCTGATTTAATAGGAAGTAAAATGCAGGATATGGAGTTGAGCATCTTGTACTTGGTGCTCACTGGACCTAGACACAGCCAGGAGGCACAGTAAGGATGTGTCCTCAAGGCCGAGCCTTTATAGAGATACTAAAGAACAGGTCTGTGGATGGAATACTACACGGCCGTTAAAAATCGTACAGTAGAAAAGCATTTCTTGACAGGGAAAAATGTTTATGATCTATTGCTAAGTGAAAAATAATAACAGGTTTCACAGCTGTGTGCAGAGAATACCATCATTTTTGTTAAAAAAAAAAAATTGTGTGTGTGTGATCAGTAAATTAACTTGGATCCATGTATACCAGAGTGGTGAAATGATAAAATGGTCATTTGTGGATGGTGGGATTATCTGTGAGTTTCTTTTTCTTTGTGCTTTTCTGTATTTTGTGAGGTTAGAGTTAGCTATATATTATTTTTGTAATTAGGAAAAAAATCTTTTTTTCCACAAAAAAAGGAAAAAGAAAGAAATGCAAACTGGAGACCCTTAGGACTGCACTTACTCCCCCATATTGTGGGCAGTGCCTGATAATGCATAGACATGTTTAACAGCCTAACTAGTTATCCAGGATGCCTCTCTTGTAATGCGAAAAGGGTAAGGCCTACTTCTCAGATTTGGCAGGTTGCCATAGAAATTTTAATTACTTTCTTTCTTGAAAGAGGAAAAAAAAAATTTAAAGGACAGTATTAAATTCCTAATAGCTCTTTTTGATATTAATAACCATGTAGTAAAAATGCAACTGGAAACAGGACACATGGCTAGTTTATTTTAAAGACTTTTGTTTCAAAATTTTGTAGAAAAACAATGCTTATTAAAGTGCTAACATAGTGATATATCAAAGTTTAACTGGTATTAAATTATAGCTTTGTAAAACAGCTTATCTTTGGCCAAGCATGGTGGCTCACACCTGTAATCCTAGCACTCTGGGAGGCCAAGGTGGGAGGATTGCTTGAGCTCAGGAATTCGAGACCTGCCTCAGCAAGAGTGAGACCCCGTCTCTACCAACAATAGAAAGAAATTAGCCAAACAACTAAAGATAGAAAAATCTAGCCAGGCATGGTGTTGCATGCCTATAGTCCCAGCTACTCAGGAAGCTGAGGCAGTAGGATTGCTTGAGCCCAGGAGTTTGAGGTTGCTGTGAGCTAGGCTGACGCCACTGCACTCTAACCCAGGCAACAGAGTGAGACTCTGTCTCAGAAAAACAAAACAAAACAGCTTGTCTTTGAAATGGAACAGTGTTTTCTCTCAATCCTGTACTTCTAATATGCCTGGATGGACTTAACTCAATTTCCAAGGAAAAAAAATATCTTCAGGGTTGAGACCAAGATAGAAAATTTCAAACTAAGAATTTTTCAGAATGTTTCCAGTGAATGAAACCAGAAATTCCTT